TGACCCTGTCCTGGTTTAGGGAAAGGGCCTGGGAGGTCACAGCCTCTGTCCAAGTTCACACAATTAGCAGGTGGCAGATCCAGTTCCCTTAACGTAATTCATTGTAAAAGAAGTGGAACTAAGATCTAGTATGCCGATAGAACTTGGCTGGCAGTTTGCTCGTCTGGAAGATGGTCATACTGCCAGAAGGAAGAGGGAAAAGCACCGGGTTTGGAGTCAGGAATGTGGGTTCAAGGCCCCGCTCCAGCTCCAGAGTACTTTGAGGGCTAGAAGAAGCCATGCTCCCCAAATGCTGGCCCACCATCAGAATCCTCCAAGGTGGCTGCTTCAAAAAAGTAAATCCTGCATTCCAACCCAAACTTCACTTAAAAAAAAAAAAAAAAACTCTATCCCTATCTATCTATGTATTCTACCTGGAGGGTCAAATCCAGGAATCGGTAATATCTGGTAGCATAGTGCCTAAGGCATTTGACTGCTAACCCACCAGCCACTCCTTGGAAGGAAGATGGGGCAATCGACTTCCATAGTGATACTGCCTTGGAAACCCAAGGAGGGGTACAGGTAGCTATGAGTTGGATCTGACTCAATAGCAGTGAGGATTTTTTTTTTTTTTTTTTTTGGTATGGAAGGTTGGGCAATGTACTTCCATAGTGATACTGCCTAGGAAACCCAAGTAGGGGTCGCTATGAGTCAGGCCCAACTCGACAGCAGTGTGCTGCATTGCATATGTTTTCTGATGTGCAGACAAGTTTGGGGACCACTGAGATACACAAAGAAAAACCTGGTGCTAGTAGGTGCTTGATAAATGTCAACAGGGCCCATATTACATGCACCAAGTTGCAAGGGTCTAGGACAGTTGGCATTTGCAGCTTCCAGACATACATTGCTGTGTGCCCTTGGGTAAGTTGCTCAACCTCTCAGAGCCTTCTTTTTTATTAGTAAATGGGTTGAAAATAGCAATATCTTCCTTGTAGGGTTATGGTAGGGGGCAGTGGTGGTTCAATTCTTGCCTTCCATGCAGGAGGCCAGGGTTCCATTGGCAGCCCACATACCTCAGGCACAGGCACCCCTTGGCTATCAGTGGAGGCCTGCATGTTGCCACGATGGTGAACAGGTTTCAGTGGAGCTTCCCAACTAGAAGGACTAGGAAGAGAAGCCTGGCAATCTACTTCTGAAAACCAGTCAATGGATCCCTACGAAGCATGAGGTCTCCTCTGTAACCATCATGGGTACAGTGCAGGACCGGGCAATGTTTTGTTCCATTATTGCATGGCCTTTCCAACTGGATGGCAGGCGATGACAACAGGGTTATGGTAAAAATTAGTTGAAATGATATTCTTATTACCGGCAACTAAACCATCTGCAAATCCCGTCAACCGGAAATCAACCCCAAGTGTACTCCTTCTCTCCATCTCCGCCAACAACCCCTGTTGGAGAGGCCTTGCCTTCTCTTGTCCTTGGCAAAGGCAAGGCCTCTCCAACAAACCCCTCTCCCAGGTCTCCTTTCCTCTGGCCTGAAATCACGCAACAGCCTCCTGAGGGCACCCGCTCCTCTCTGTGATCCACTCTCTACACAGCAAAGTAATCTTCTGAACCCGAGTAGCGTTGTGTCACGCTCCGCTCAATATCTTCCCATGGCTCCTCCTCAGCCTTGGCAGAAAATCCAAGCCCCCATGCAATGCCCTATGCCGCCGGTAACCAGTTGCTATGTATGGCATCAGTTCCAACTCATGGTGAGCCCATGTGTGTCAGAGCAGAAATGTGCTCCATAGGGTTTTCAGTGGCCTATTTTTTTGGAAGTGGATTGCCAGGCCTTCCTTCTGAGGCACCTCTGAGTGAACTCAGACCTCCAACCTTTGGGTTATGTAGCAGCTGAACATGGACTCTCTTTACCTGCTTTATCACCTGAATGAAGGTGTGCAATGATTCTATTTGTTTGTCCCATTGGTTGCTTCTTTTCCTTTAGATGTAAATTTCCATGAGGAGGGATACCATATCTGTCTCACTATTAACCATTATACACCTAGTATCTAGCACATCAGAAGTCCTGGTGGTGCAATGGTTTAGTATTCAGCTATAAACCAAAAGGCTGGCGATTCAAACACAGCCAGTGACTCCAAAGGAGAAAGACCAGGTGATTATAGCCTTCAAAGCCCTATGGGGAAGTTTTACTCTGTCATACACTGTTGCTATGGGTCAGAATCAACTTAATAGCTCTCAAAAGCAATGATCTAGCACATCACCTGGTACACAGAAGGTTATGCATAAATACTTGGCCAAAGAATGAATGAATGATGAATGAACGAATGAAATTATTAAGTACCTAGCACTGAAGACCTCAGCCAGCAACAAAGTTAGCTTTTTCTCCCTTCCCCTGGCCCTGGAGCCTGCAGGCAAAGACAAATATCATACACCAGAGAAGGGACACAGTGATGTCCAATGTCATCACTGCTTTATTTGATTAGCTCCAACTCTGGCATCCGGGACACGTGTGCTGGGAGCCAAAGCAACTGTACCCTGACCTCTGGTCCACGCGATCCCATCCTTATAACGATTTCCATGACAACAGCAACGGAAAGCCAAGGCTGTGAATTCCCTTTGATAGGAGCCGGATGCAGAGACAGGGAAGAAGGACTTTGAGAAGAATGAGGCCCTTTGATTCAGCTCAAGGCGCCTTCATTAAATACCACTATTTTCCAAGAACACACACTTTAACCTTCCAGAGGGGGAGTTCTCGTGAATACTAACAAAAAAGAGAAGAAAGAAAAAGAAACTCAACTGCTGTGATTCCTTTTCAAGAATATTCACCTGTGAGGGGAAGGGCTGGCTGGGATGCTGGGGCTTCTGGCACATTTTGAGGGGAGATGGGTAAGGCATAGGACCTTCTGCCAAGTGGACTTCATAAACCCAAGAGTAGAGTTGACATAAGGCCAGGGAAGGAAGAGGAAGTGATGGCAATGCTTCAAGAAGGTGAGATGGTGAAGGTAGGGGGTTGGTCTGGCATGGCTCATCCAAGGAATACGTGTGAATTAAAGGATGACACAGACACATGCAGACAATACCCCTCAGGGTACGGGCCTCCCTGCATGGTTCCAGCACTTCCTGAGTCCCTGCTACATCACTGTTTGGGAATCTGTCTCCCCACGGCTGCTACCACCCTGCCTGGGTCTGATCCACTCACCTTTCCATACCAGCTATCCCGGGCCACAGTGCCTGTACCCAGCACAACCCACACCATGATGTCCCTCGAGGTCCTTAGCTCCTGCCCTGGCCTCACCTCCAATCTACCTTCTGACCTGCTGCTCCATCATCATTTGGAGCAGCTAAGGATGGTGGAGCCTAAAAGACCTGGGTTTGAATACTGGTTCTCACTTTCCAGCCATGTGACTTTGTGCTGGTCACCTCACCTCTCTGCCACCCAATCACTTGTGAGATGGAGAAGATGATTCTCAGTTCTCCCCTGAGAGCTTGATACAGCAGCATGTATAAAATACCAATGCATGGTGGGGGTTCCAGACAGTGGCAGGTTGCCAAAGGAGCAGGGAGGCTGCATCTTCTGACCTCTTCTAACCCCACAAAAGGAAGACAGAATCACCATCAGTATCCCGAGGCCTATCCCTGCGAGGCCAGACATGCTGTCTCCCTCCAGTCCTTTCAAAAACCTTGGCACCAACTGTTCCTCCCTCAGCACCCACCACCTCTCTGCTGAGTTTCATAATTCACTGCAGTGGCTACACAGAACTCACAGACTATGGGGTTTATTAAGCACCAGACTACAATTCAAGGTCAGAAATGCACTCAGTCTCTTGCAGCTAGCCATCCTACTTAGCAGCCAGCAGTCTCTCTCAGCAGCACATGTCTCTCACATCTGTCTCTCAGCAGTGCATGTCTCTCACATCTGTCTCTCAGCAGGGTGTGTCTCTCACATCTGTCTTTCAGCAGCACGTCTTGCTTCTCTCTCTCAGCAGGGTGTGTCCTCACATTTCTCTCTCAGCAGCATGTGTCTCCCACGTCTGTCTCTCAGCAGTGTGTGTCTCTCACATCTGTCTCTTAGCAGTGCCATGTCTCTTGTATCTGTCTCTCAGAAGTGTGCCACTAGTATCTGTCTCTCAGCAGTGCGTGTCTCTCACATCTCTCTCTCAGCAGCACATGTCTCTGATGTTTCTCTCTCATTAAGTATATGTCTCTCAGGAGCACATTTTCTCAACAGCATGTCTTTCTCAGCCAGCAGTCAGAGAGACTTCTTCTGCCTCTAGGAGGGCTCCTTTTGAGGCCAGCAGAGTGACCAATCTTACCAATCTCAACTTCAGAATTCTATACACCTGAGAGAGAGAGAACTTCCCAGAAAATTACTTTGTGCTGCTCCCAACAGAAATATCCTGGGTGGATAACTTTAACAATCAGGAGCTACTCAATTGCTAACAACAAATTCTACCATGGAGTTTACAAAGACTTATGGCTAGAAAAGCCACACTATGTAATTTACTACACCTCACTGGTGTTGATTACCGTCATATCATGATAAATATCATCATTATTCTAACAGGCAATCAAATGTATCTTATTTATCCCTGTTGCTATTGGGATTAGATTTTGTATTATTAAAACAATTACTATTTGTTTTATACCCAGTCCTTGTGGCCACAAGTGTGCATTCACACACACACATACACGCACACACAGGCTGCACTTAACCATTTTGACCTCAAGACCCTGATCTGCCCAGGCCTTCAAGACTTCCATTATGCCTCATCTCAGAAGAAGGTAACAAGCCATCTCAGCCATTCATAAACCTCTCCTTCTCAGCTGCCACCTCAATGTGACATTCCCAGGCCCCCTTTCCCCAGCATCCCCCAAGTCACCTGCACATTTGTGAAGTTGAGGTCAGTGCCATGGCCATGCTCACAGCTGGGAGGAAGACCATACCACAATGTCTCTGGGACATATCACCTGTCTGTAGCATCCTCCCAGCCTGGTGTTGAGGGGCCTTACTCACATACCTGGCTCTGTACTTTCTCCAGCTCCTCTTTGCTGACTGATGTCTTGCTGTCCTCCATGGTCCTGAGAAGGAGCTGCACATCTGACAAGAGTGCATGGGTCCTCTTGAGGTCCCTTCGAAGACGCTTCTCCACGTCAAAGTCCCGATGGCCGATCTGAAAGCCAAGGGGAGGCCCATGAGCTTAGACAAAAAAGCAGTGGCCAGGATCTGAAATCTCTGAAGCCCAGGTCCCTGTGTTCAAATCCTGCCTCTGCCACTCACTCACTGTGTGACCCTATATGAGACCCATCTCTTCTCTGAACCTCAGTATCTTCATCTGCAAAATGGGAATGGTACCAACCACACAGTGCTGCTGTGAACCTTGGAGACACACTTCACCTAATGCCTGACACAGAATAAATGCACAATAAAAAAGTTGCTGTCATTATTGTTGTCACAGCCTTATGCACCCAAAGTAGTGACTGCTTACATGAATGTGTTCAGTTTATGGAAATTCACTGAGCATACACGTGGAGTACAATATATGTCTCTGTATGTATGTTACAACTCAGGCTGTACATACAGGATGCAGTATGCTTCTCCACATGTATGTTATACCTCAGGCTGTACGTGTGGGATATGGCATGCTTCTCTGCATGTACGTCACCAAAACCAGCTGGCATCAAGACAACTGCATATATGTTACACTTCAGTAACTGCTGTTATTTTTCAGAGTCAACATCAAGTTTTTCTGTCTGTTTAACTGGTCTAGGAGTCCCTAGGTGGTACAAACAGTTAACATGCTCAGCTGCTAACTGAAAGTCTGGGAATTTGGGTCCACCCAGAGGGGCTGAGCAGTCAGCCCCAGGCTTACAGGTGAGGAGAGACAACTCAGTGAGCCCGAAGTAGCAAGCGGGAAGAGTAGGAGAAAGGGGTTTAAAAGCCAGGAAGCCAGAGAAAAGAGCAGTCAGCCGAAGGGATTAGGTGAGGAGGGGCAACTCAGGCCCACACAGAGTAGCAGGCCGGAAGAGCAGGAGGAAGGGGATAAAAAGCCAGGAACCCGGACAGAGGAGCAGTCAGCCCCAGGGAC